GATTATCTTTCAAAGTTTTTTTAAGAGCTATTTTGGTGAAATCATGGATAAGTCGAAAATTCATGTTATTTTAGAATATGAGTCCCATCAAGGAACAAATGCAGTACAGACAGCTCGAAGTATCAACGAAGTGTTTGGGAAGGATGTGACTAATGAATGCACAGTATGTCGATGGTTTGAGAAGTTCCGTCGTGGTGATTTTAATCTTGAAAATGAGCCATGTGGGTGACCTGATACCAAGATGGATAATGATGAGCTGAAAGCTGTAGTGGAAGCAAATCCATCTCAACCTACACGTCAATTAGCAGCAAGATTTGATGTTACTATTCCAACAATATTGGACCATTTGAAACAAATGGGTAAGGTAAAGAAGCTGGATAGATGCGTACTGCATGAATTAAACAAACGCCAGAAGAGAAATCATCTCAAAGCCTGGCTTTCCTTGCTATCATGACATAAAGATTAACCAGTTCTATCCTGTATTACTATGTGTGATGGAAAATGGATTCTTTTGGACAATTACAAGCATTCAGCACAATGGTTGGATAAAAAAGTGCTGAAATACAGTCCAAAACTGAATACTCATAATAAAAAGCTACTGGTATCTGGTGGTCCAGCCTGGTATTATCCACTACAGCTTCATGAAACATGGTCAGTCGATTACAGCAGATGTCTACTACAACCGATTGGATGAAATGATGGGGATACTTGCAGTTAAGCAGCCGAGATTCTTTAATAGACACAGGCCAATCCTCTTGGAAGACCATATGCCCCAAAAAACAGCGCTGTTCAAACTACAGCAGATGAACTTGGAAACTCTCATCCACTGTATTCACCAAACCTTGCATCAACTGACTACCACTTCTTCCAGGCTTTGGACCACTTCTTGCAAAGAAAAATATTCAATTCTAAACAAGCTGTGGAAAATGCCTTTTGCAATTTCGTCACCACTCACTCTCCAGGCTTCTTTGCTGATGGCATAAACAAGCTACCCTCTTAAGATGGCAATGGCAAATCTGTGTCAATAGTTTAAGTGCACACTTTGATTAATTGTACTGCTTCTTGTTTGAGACAATAAACTAAACTTTCAATTCGAAATCAGACATTTCATATTTAATGACCTAATAACTGCCTGTAATGAGAAGATATTGCCCTTCATTCCAGCACAGGCCTTAAATTTCAGATATAACTAACATTCAGATCCACTAAAGGAGAATACATAGAAAAGCCGCCCCAATACTAGCTTGAAATGTTTTTTTTATCAGATCACGCAACATTTTACGAGGAACTCTGGGACATTTCAAAACACCTGTGTGTATGTGTGCATGTGTGTGCATCACAGAGACAGAGAGACAGATGATGAGACAGAGAGAACAATATTGAGAGATTCAGCAAGCTACCCTATTATCCAACCTGCCTGAAGACATGAAAGTGAGAATGGAAAATTAGAAAATGTAATAGTGAAAAAATTGTGTCTGATGGTTACTCTCCCACTATTCTGAGTATTTTATTCAATACTTAATCTATTAAAGCAACTTAAGGAAATATCATGGCAATATTCATATAGGAAGCAACATAAAGTTACATATACATTATGAGCACCTGTTTATTCCACTGAACAAAAGTAGTGACTCAGGGCCAACACTTTCAGTAATGCCTTTTACATCTGCAGTGGTACAGTGTACTATCTTCCCAGCTATATGCAACGGCCATATGCTCAATAGCCCAGAAATAAAATGAGACCAATAACTGGAAAATCATGTTTCTCTATGAGACATTGTTATGATTTGAATGTTTTTGTCCTTTCCAAATTTCATGTTGAAATGTAGTCCTCAATGCAACAGTATTAAAAAGTAATTGAATCATGAGGGCTCTGACCTCATGAAAGGGATTGGATGCCCTTATAAAAGGGCTCAACAGGGGGAGTTCACCCTTTCTTCCACTTCCACCTTCCAACATGTGAGGATGCATCAAGAAGGCCCTCGCTAGATGCTGATTCCTTGATCTTGGACTTCTGAGCCTCCAGAAGTGTGAGAAATAAATTCCTGTTCTTACAAATGACCCAGTCTGTGATATTCTGATATTGCATCCCAAATGGACTAAGGCAGACATCTAATCCATTAGATTCAGAAATATATATTAATAGAAAGCATACCATAAAAGATGTAACTTTCATGCACACTTTTAAAAAAATCTGAGTGAACGATTCTAAGTTTTTCTTTTCTTTTTTATCTGCTTCTTACCAGACGGTGGTATATTAACATTTTATTCATCTATTGACCTCACTATCCATTCTCTTTGGTCAATCAGTTTTCTTATTAAAATCTTAATTTCCAGATATATATCCCCTTTACTTCCTTATTATCTGAATCTCAAGGATTTCTTTTCTTGAAATTTCATAGTGGATGAATGATTTCTGACAACAACAGAAGCTGCTGCCTAACTCCTATATATTTCTTGATTATTGGTTTTATTAACCATATATATGTTGCCCTAAAATATCTTCTTTCCTGCTTCAAATTCTTGGACCATGAGGACAGCTGAATGAAAAAGCATAATGTTAAAAAGGCACAAGAGATTTCTACAAATATAACTTTTCATTCAGGAAATTTTTTACTACTAACATTTTATATATGTATATATATGGGAGCTTCTAATATTCAGCAAAGTTGAAAGTTTAGGCTAAGGCTGTTTTGTTTTCTTCATTTTTCCCCTGTATACATATTTTCTTGCTAAATATTTTAACAAGATATTCTATCTCTTATCCCTGCTCAATCCTTCTACAAGGTATTTATAAAATTAGGGGGAGGGGCAAGAATGAGAGTAGAAAAAAATTGATAAGTTTAGCACCTAAAACTTCACTCTATTTTGCTTTATTCACGAGCTATATTTTTTATGAATTAGGGAGATTTCACAAATTTAAAAAAATGAAAAAGAAAAATTTGTTGATAACTTTCTATTAAATAGCTGAAAAATTAGATTTTCATCTAAAGAAGATGTAGTTTGACCTTAGCAATCTCAGCTTAAAATCCTTATTATTAGCCAACTCTCACACTTTCACTTTGAGTAGCTTATTTACATAATAATTACCTTATACATAGCTCAAACAAAAAGGAAAAAGGAAAGGAGAGGAAAACACCAACTAAAATCTTATAAGGTTCCTACTGGTCTCATAAAAAATTCACAGAAACATTTATTGCAGCTACAAATCCTCTTTCCCAATCTCTATAATAAGAAGAAACTTTAAAATCAATTGATTTCACTCTCACTGATGGATTCTTCTTAGTCACCGAAAATGTTTGCAATAAATTTTAAGAATATGGAGGAAATCTGCACAACCAAAATGTAATAGATTGAAGTATATTATATTAGATTTGCTAAAAATGGGATGGGATGAAATCTATCAACAATAGGTATAATATACATTACATGTGAACTTGGAACATATAGAATCAAGAAAATGAGCTATTTGCTAACTTTTTAAAATAATCTAACTTTTTTACTAATTAAACTCGGTATATTCGTTAATACATATCTTTTCATTTTATTTATTATAAGTAAAATAAAATCCCTCACATATATTTCTGGAATAGATAGAGCAAAAGTTTTTTCCCTTATGTGCAGACAGCGTGAAAGATGAAATGTTAAAGATGAAAGGTAATGTTACCTGTTTCCTCCCCTCTAAATACTTTCTCATGGAGACCATCAGATATAATACTAACCTGGATTCTTGTAAACGCGTGGATTTACTCCATA